TTTTTCTTCGGATTGGGTGGGTGTTTGGTCTCAAAATTCTCAAATCATGGCCAGTAAGAACGGACATTTCAGGTGCTTCAAACTGAGCAATCACTTGACTTGTTCACTCCTAGCTAAGCTGAAAAACCCGCCTGCCAGGCTGCGGTTGGAACTGGCTGGACGTCCTTGTGGTGGTGCCGGCCTGGGTGGAGATTGCCATTGAAATCTCAGCCATGAGAAGCATAGGCCGGGCGACCCCTCCCCCGTTGAAGCAGGGAGGAGAGCGGGAATTCACGCTCTCGAGATCTCTCGAGCGTGTCACCTCTGGTTCATATCGAAGAGTCGGAGGTCTGGTGCGAAACATGGGACTCGACGATGGACTCTCCAGAAACAAAGGCACTATGGATGTTAAAGAATCTCAATTGCCATATCTGTTGGAGATTGTTGGAGTAAGCAGCTAGCATCTCAGGTGATTTCTGCTTGGGACTGGGGAAAAAGCGTGACAGGTTTAGGGTTTAGGGTCTACAGCCCAGACAATCCATGGGACTGGCACATTTAATCATGGTTAATCACAGTTACCTATATGATATGCCTTCAAATGTTTGGCACTGTTTGGCAATATGAATGTCTGGGCCAGTTTCTATGCTCAACAATGCAAGCATTTGATGGTCACTGGACCGTGACTGCATGTGGCGACCTATGAAAGTAGCTTCACGGAAAAGCTACCGGCTGCAAAATGACCCACCAAAACACGTTGCACCAAAACCGATTGTTGGTTCAGACCCTCCAAACAGGTGATTAAAGGGTGCACAGAGATCGAAGCATTCATGGCCCATATCCCAAACCCATCCCAGCTCCGTGCGCACCGCGCCATTGGCGAACCTCGCGCTTGTGCTTCACCCTGAAAATCTTCGTCTTGTGCTTCACCCCTCAAATGGATCCAATCACGGTCCGTCTCTTGCCACGCAGGCGGCAGCAGCGCCTCCTCACAATTCCGCATCATTCGGGTCTTCAAGGTCACCAGGCGCCGTCCAGGGAGTCGCGGCTCGAGCGCAACCGCGTGGCGCATTCGCGTGGCGTTCGGGCCGTGGTTTCGTGGACCGCAGGCTGTGGCGGTCATCGACGCACTTTTTGATGCACTTGATCGTCTGACATGTGTAAACCCTTGAACAGGGAGTGAGAAGAACTGCACTGCAGGATGCAGGGATTCGGAGGTGAGAGCGAAGCTTGGGGTCTAGATTCTGTTCCGGACGGTGCTTTTGTCAAAGGTATTCCCAGCCTGTTACTTCCAACGCCTAAAGTTTCTAAAGTCACCTCAGAAACCAATCCACCGCACCGACTGAAGTCCCTCTTTTTCACCTTTCCTTGGATTTCACTGGACGCGTTGGGCGTGCGGGGGTGTGGGGTGACGGTCCAGCCTCCAGCGTCCAGGCTCCTACAAGTGGTGCGCTCGATTCGTTTGGTGCGCTTCTTAAGCGCCTTGCGCGCCTTGGTCCTGTCGGTGATCGACACCACAAGACAGCTGCTCTGGGCCTTGATCCTGCTCACTTTGGTGTCTCGAAGCAAAGCAAGCCTCGAAACTCGTGTTTCGACGGTTGAGGTCGTTTCATCGTCTAAATTGCCAAAGGGGGAAAATATATGAAAATATATTCTGCATTAGTTCACTCTTGGTGCTTGATTCCGACGTGCTTTCTTTTGGTCCACTTGTCTTGTCCTGGCTTCATGAACTGGTGGAACGAGTCAAACTGGTGATCTTCCCCCAAGTCCCCATTTCATTTCACCGGATTTCTTCTACCCACACGGCCATAGCATCCCATCCATCCCATCCGATGGTCAAAACCCGCCCCGGACCGAAAGACCCCCAGGACCGAAGAGACCCGAGTTCGACCCGAGACCGAGACCGACCCTGGAGAGGGGTCGGTTTATCCCTCAGGTTCAGTATAGCTCCGGGAAACAAGTGCCACGCTACTAGGAACAAGTGCCTTACTACCGTAGGTGGACGAATTATTCAAACCCTTGCAGACTTCACCCCCCTACCCCCCATAGTTCAATGTTGGCCTGTTGGTGAAGGAGTTTGGCTTGAGTGGACGAATCAAATCAAACCCCTGACAACAAAACATCTTTTCACTGAGACAACATTGAAATCGGGGGTGCAGGGGTGGTGGTCTGCTATGGTGGTTTAGGGTTTGATTAATTTGTCCATCTACTGTAGTAGTAACAAGAAGCGAACGTAGAAACAAGTGCCACGCTACTAGGTTCAGTATAGCTTCGGGATCATGTTCACGGATGCCGTGCTCGACTACATCGACTCCAACGGACCGCATCCCGTGTTGCAGCCCCTCGGAGCTAGCTTGGCCGGGTCGGGGGGTGATGTCGTCTGGTCCCAGAGTCCCGGTCCCAATGCTTTGGGACCATGAACTAGGTCTTATGGTCTTACCGAGCTGAACTTCTACTGGGAAAAGGTCATGCAAAATCAGTACTTGTATCAGGTCAAGGACCAGCTTGGAAGCATTTTGCACACTTGGGTTCAGACGGTGACCGCCTTTGTTTTACATGGTTTCAGCCTAGGACCTCAAACAGCCGGAAATTCAGGAATGTGTCCACCGTCCTAACCACTTGCTATGTAAAGGATCTCAGTTGCCATATTGGATTAGAACATCCAGTTGTTTCTGGTTCTTTGGGGTTCCAGGAGGTAGTGATTTGATGAGATATTGGCCTGGTCAAGACAGATTTGGTGAGAACTATCTATTCAACAAGTTGTTTCGCACAAGGATAGAAACTGGGCACAAAGCAACTAATTGCTCAACGAGCCGCAACCACCTTAACTGGTCGGATTGTGTAATGTTTGGGCACGGTGTCTTCACCTGAAGTCGTCAGAATGGGCCGAAAAACCTCCGAGGCATGTGCAGCCATACAAACACAAGGAACAGTTTGTGAAATCTATATGGGGGACAATCAGAGGTCAGTCATGTTCTTGCAGACCTCGGGAGATGCATTCCAGCACACGCACACACCTGCAGGGGTCCACTATGCTTACCGTGAATCAAATGCAGTCTCCTAACGTCTGGAGAATCCCTTTTTGTCTCGTTTGGGGTGTAGAAAATGACCAGCAGCAGTCGGTAAAAGAATGTAACAAGAGAACGATGTTTCAGGAAGACCTTCACTCACCGTGATCATCCAATGATAATGGGATGTACCCAACTTCACGATCCACCTTCCAACACTTCCACGCCCATCCACCACATGCAGTGCGTATCCCGCCGCTGCCCAATGATCCTCGTGGCCCCTTAGGATGTACTTCGGCACGGTGTATCTCTCCTGCGCCACGCTTTTCAGGCGTTTTTTGTGCGCTTTGGGGCGCGTGAAAATTGATTGGTCTCCCCAACTGTAAGGCACTTGGATTCATGTTTCCGTGGCATATGGGGCCAAACTCATGTGGCCCTGCCGCATCTTACCAGTACAAAAGGGCGTGATTGCCCCAGCCATGTTGTTTTAGTCTACAGTCTTAAATCGTTTGATTGGGGGTTAGAAGATGACCAAACAAGTTGGAAGATGACCAAACAAACTGGATGGGTATGTCATGTTGTGTGATATTTCTGGGACTTGACTGTACAGACGAGGTCATCAGATGCTGGCAGTTGATATGAGGTCGGAGGTCTGTGATGGCTCAACTGTTTAGACCACTTAACCCTGTATGGATCCACATACCTTCTTTGAAGTGTAAAACCATCTCATCTCGTCCCAAAACCTCCTCATCCGCCGCTGGGCGCCCTGAACATGTCCCGCCTTTCTCGGGCCTCGCAGAGACAGGTCTCAGCCTTTTCTTTTGGACTCGGCGGCAGACGTCCAAGACACGACTAGTGGGACTGCCATATATGCTGATCAGTTGGGGTGGTTTTAGGGGTCAATGGGGCGGCAGTCCTATGGCAATCCCATTAGTCGTGTCTGGGCATGGACATCTTCCGCACTTGATCTATTAAGTTTCGATTTTTCGTTTTTCAAGTGACTAAGAACCCCAAGGAACAACCGCCGCCGCAGCAGAGGGAGGCAACATGCTGCATGTGTCCAGTTCTCGCTGCGGGGATCGATCTGCAGGTCGATCTTAGGCGGAACCGACTGGGACATTGCAGCTGATGCGCTGGAAGAGGCCCAGAATGGCTCCGGGTTAGGGGTGTGAAACATCTCACTGTGACAGGTTCTTTGAGGAATAGTTCCCAACCCAAATTGGCATCCCAGAAAGTGAAACAAAACTCGGATGCACTGTGTGACCCGCCAATAACGATGAAGAACCCAACACAAGAAAAGACAGAGATGTGATGAGATGTTTCTTTTTTGAACCATCGTGTTGTTTGAAGAGAAAAGGAATTAATTTGGAGCTGAAGCTTTTCTGCCCTCAAACACATCAAATAAACGCATCGGACATCCAGCAGACACATCTCGAGATTGATGATTCTGTTCACATGCGACCCACCATAGTAACAAGGGCATTGGCATTGCTACTAGTAACAAGGGCATTGCTGCTAGTAAGAAGCTAGTAGGTTGGAGATCACTATCAGCTTGGAGGCCACTAGTAACCAGAAGCTACGTAGCAGCTACGAACCGTCCACCTTCTTTTGGGCATCCGGCCAGACACGCCACGCCACAGCTCCACCCAGCCCAGAAACCGCGACCACCGGAAGGTGCCGCGGTGCTTACACCACCACCCGACCGTTGGTGCACCGGACCGGCGGTTCGGAGACGGTCCGGTCGCCTGCACCGTCGCCTGCGATTCGTCCGCAGATCGATATGCTTTGGGTGCAACTCTTCCACCTGTACATCGCCTTCTGCGGCTTCGCGGTGGGGCCTGGGTGGCGGGTGAGGCGGAGTGGCCGGGAGAAACGAAGAAAAGGGGGGTTGGTGTGAACTGCGCAAGGTGCGGTGAGGTGGCAGGGGGGTATGAAGAAGGTGGAGGCTCCACCCCCGGAAAAACCAGGGATGCTCAAAAAGGGTGATGGTGGGTTTAAAACAGGGCGATCGGGTTCTTTTTCCATGTTTTCCCAATCTACGGGCAGATCGTGGTCAGTTCGGATTCCCCATGGTTCCGACTCCTCGAAGGTCTCGAAGGTCCCATCATGCGATGGTGGCATCATGCGTGGAGCCGTCCGGGTGAAAAACTCTCGAAAAAGACCACCGCTTCTGGGTGATCCGCCTCCAGGTGCTGAATGTGATGACCGGCGTTTTCGCGCCTCGGATACGCCGGGTACGTGGGGGTGGGAGGAGTTACCTACAGAGTGAGTGGGTCCTTCTTGCGTGTCTGGACGGCTATGACGTCCTTTTCGGTTTTGGTGGGAGGAAAACGGACTTATACTAGGGAGATTGGGGCGACTTCTACTAGCGGACTGCGCTGGAAAGTGTACCTATGAAGTAAGTACTGGGGTGGGTGGCAGCTACTCAAAACATCTCAAAACCTGTTTAGCAGTCCCAATCCTCGGTGTCAGGTGTCAGTTTAGATTCCATCGACCATTGTGTTAGGCGGCCATAGACAAAGTCAATCGAGAGATTTCATTGAAAGCAATTGGTGCTGCAACTCGCTAGCCAACGTCTTGCATGTCCTACTTCACTAGCAAACTTGGCCCTGTCTTTTCATATCTACCCTCCCTTCAGGCTTCTGCTTGAACAATATACGGTCCAAACTGGAATTTCTTGCATGACATGGGATCTGAACGCAAGGTCAATCAATGGAATCTCTTATCTTTTCCTTGGCGAAAACGTCCGGTTGAGATGAGCGCCCTGGATGTTGGGGCTTCTTTTTGGTCTTCGCTGAGGTGAATAGCGCGGTCAAGACGAGGGAGCGAGATCATGAGACGTTGATTCAAAACAAGCAGAAGTTCATGGATTTGGTCTCCAAGCACCTTGAATCGAATATGGAGCTTTTTTCAAGAAGCAGGCAGAGCTTTTGGCGAAAGCGCCCCCTTTTTGGTCATCAGCCCTGTTTGGCGCTGGTCTCAGTGTGCTGGTCTGTTTGTGCAAGGAAGGCTCTTGTGAAAAGGACCGGTCTCAACCAAAGGTTACGTAGATTGCTGTCGACGGCCACCAAAGGGAATTTTGCATGGAATCGGTATTTTTCTGGTATATGTTATAGTTTTCTTTTTAACCGGATATATTTGTTCACGATTTTTTTGCTTCTGCTTTTGCTTTTGCTTTTTGCTTCTGCTGTTGCTTTTTGCTTCTGCTTTTGCTTCTGCTTTTGCTTTTTGCTTCTGCTTTTACGTTCGGCTTTTGCTTTTGCTTCTGCTCTTGCCTTTGCTCCTGCTTCTGCTTCGTTTTTTCCTGCTGCTTTTGCACTTGTTCCTGCTTCTGCTTTTGCAATTGCAAATAGGCAGCTTGAAGCACTGCAAGTGCCGCTGCAAGTGGCCAGCTTTGTTTACTGTGCATTCCTTTTGTGACCTTTTGTGAGCTACTCGACATTTAGAGGAAGGTGCCATTCCAACGGTGCATGCCTTTTGTGAGGCACCCGAGGGTAAAATCTAGAGGGGGAAGGTGCTATTCCAACGGTGCATACCTTTTGCGAGACACCCGAGGGTAAATTTAGAGGAGGAACTAAGTTCACGAGTGCTGCTCTTTTTTTCCCCTTTAGTGCTCCATCCAACAAGGCAGGGACAGAGCACTACTTTGAACCACAGCCACCGGCTCTTGAGAAAGTAGGTTTAGCTCCGCTGTGTATGCAGATGCAGGAGGCCAGTCCGGGGCAAGTTCGCGCGAACCGCTTTAGAGCGCACACGTGTGTGTCAACTGTATCGAGATGTTGCATAACCGGAGCAGAGCGTACAGCAAATTGCGCCAGTTATGTTGATGTTCTTCGATCTAGCGGCCCTAGATCTCTTGCAGATGCAAGAGATGGTGAACCGCGACGTCCAGATCATTGCGGGACCAATGGCAAACATCACCTTTAGCCAGACAGCAAAGGTCGCCATGACCACTTTGATCGACGTGAGTTACATCAGCAGCACAGCTATCCCGTTTCTTCAGTTCTTGGGATCGCGGATGTGTTCTGACGGAAAAGAGATTGTCCGTCACGGACTGCCTCCGCGAAGAGCTCCGGCGGCGGTGGTGGGCGCAGCGACGCTACCTCTCCCTGGCGCTCCACAGCA